CCATTTGTGCCGTCTGAAAGGCACTCAAATGAGTGGCACATTATCTCACACATCTGGAGTTTACCAAATTAGCCAATTATGCTCAAGCTCATAAAACGAAGCCTTAAATGTCATTTAACTAGAAAATATTATAATCACCAAGTGGTCTGATTGTAAGATGATACTTAGGGCAGCATCAGTGGTTACAGAAAACAAATCAAGAAACAAAACACAGTTCGAATGCCCCCCAAATGCAACCACATATTTTCTATAGCAACACATTCTGAAGAATACCATATTTCTGAAGGCACCAGCAATCAACATGTTTCTCATTTGAAGCTAAGCTTAATCTGACCTAGTTGTTTCCTAGTTATTTGCTTTGAGCAAACCAATGCCCAAGAATTTTTTACATAAGAGAACTAAGCAACAAACAGGATGAAAATCGACGGACTGAAAACCATGAACTTATCTGAAATACAGAGCTAATTACAAAGGATGGGACAATGATTAGATTGAGTCTTGAGTTGCCAGAGCTTTGTAGTGTTGCCTCAGAGTCACCAAGATTTGCATGACTGCACATATACTGGTCTCAGAGCTTTTGTACATTACTTGAAGAAAGAGACAAAGCTACTTTAAGTTGCTGTGTGATTTGAGGCTAGGAATATCAAAGACTTCAGAATAGCCATTTGAAAATTAGCCATTGTAGCCTTTATTTCCATATTTTCTTCTTTCCAGCCAATAAATAACAAAATTTGATCTTCAGGGCAAGATCACATATAGTCTATGGAAAAACCACGGTTATACCTGCGTGGCTTTGGGTAAGTCATTTAACTTCTCTGGTCTTCAGTTACCTTATACGAAACATGGGCTTGATTATGCTACGTTGTTAATAGTGCTGTGCTGAGAAAAACATGAAAAAAATATCATAGCATAGTTCACGGTACGCTGAAGAAAATAAATATTAGTTTTATGCCTTTCTCTACCTTGAATCAGAATCTCTTTCCAATTCAAGATCACCAGAATATATTGAGTTCTGTTTAATTCCTCTTTTGCCTAATTTCAGGAAGAATGGCCATTTGAGCACTTTCAGAGGAAGCAGAGTGGGAGTAGGGATTGGGAGACTGTCCTGGTTTACACTGACATAACGTATAGTCCCCTCACCCATCTGTGAACATTTAAATCACTCTTTTTAAAGGAATGACAAGTACAAAAAAGACTAGGCAGACTTTCATAAGATGCTCCGAGGTAAAGGGAAGTGAGGTGTGATGCATGGACACATGGTAAATAGAGATACCAGCCACTGTTTGCCTGGTGAGTTTACAAAATGAACCCTGTTGGTTTTAAGGCAGCTAATTAACTAGGCTGTATCTTTATGTATTCTGGGCTCACTTTATTACAGTAGATGGACCTATTTAGTTAGTTTATTTCTGTCAAATCAGAGACAGATGAAAAATTGTGGTGATGATGAAGGTACTCTCAACAGTAATATTTCTTTAATACCTTCATTTTCTATGAGTTCTCTCTTCTATGTTAGAGAAACAGCCTATTTGGTAAAAATTAGCTAAGTATGAGGATTCCATAAATAGAAATTCTTACTTGGAATTCGGAATGCCTCTCTTGGTAAGCTTTAACCTCACTTTTGTAAAGCTTTGTTTCATAAGACATGCTTTTTATTAAAAAAGTTTTAATAAAAAGTACAATGTATCTATGCTTTTTAAGAAGAAAAAGAAGTTAGAAACAGTAAAGAGAATTAGATTCATGGGGTTGAGCTATTGTCTCTTGAAAGCAAGTGAATTTTGAGTAGAGAGGTGAGGAATTGCATCTCTAAGAATGGTGGAGATAACCATCTCACTTTCTTACACTGGGGAAATGGAAGATCTGTGCAGATTTTAAGTGTATTAACAGACTTTAATGTTTTTAAATGCAGTAAATGACAAGCTATCAAAATCTTTAACTTGGAGGAAATAGGAAAATCCAGGAGAGGTGAATTCTCCTAATATGTCAATAGCTAAAATTGACTAGTGCTATCCTCCGGGCAGGCCACAGGCCAAACAGGCCTCTATGTACCTGAGTGAAAAAGACAACATCTTGAAAACGAGCGACTGTGAAAACTTAATAAGAAAGTCAAAAGGAACTTATTTGACTAGGGGGAAAAAATTAACACAGCATGTGTTAAAAGCCTTTTTCTTTTTTTTCTCTTTTGTTTTTTTCTTTCATTTAACTCAAGGCTATGAAATGCTCTTGCTCTGTATAAAAAATATCAGGGAGATTTTTATTTTGTGTTTTTACAAATATTTCCATCTCTAAGACTGGAGCGCTCTGGCTTTTGGCTAACAACGTGTCCAGACCTAAAGGCATCACAGAGAGAATGTCAATTTGCTCTAGAAGCAATTATACATAGGGTATAGAAAAAGGCCAATTTTACTATGCAGGGACCACACATACTGTATGTTTGTTATATTATTTGATATCAAAGCAGAAGCAGAGACATCAAATTCTTCCTAAAACACACACGAATTGAAAAGCTTGGCTAAGGAACTGCCATATCCAATTCAGAGATATCTGTTACAGTTCACAGATCTCAGTGATGTTGACATTACTGTTGTAGAGGAAAAGGATACTTTCACTGGCTACATAATACACTATGATTTCCTTAACTTTCTTGTCATAATATAAAGGTTTATATTATCAATGTAGGGCATTTAAGTACTACATTACCAGAGTAATAGCTGGAAGAACTTGTTGACTTTTGTCACTAGGTGACCTCAAAATATTTAATCAAACATCAAGATCATTATCATAACTTCAGAGAGGGTAGTCTATAGAGAATTATTGTCTCTGTTTCATTTTGCATCATTATGATGTTGGTGTGATGACTTTTGTTCATTTGTTTAGCGTACTTACTGAGTGTCTCCACGCAGTGCCAAACACAAGTATAAGGAATACAGAGCTAATTGGGACATGATCCTTAGGAAATACATTCTTTGGTGGCAAAGAGGAGATAGACAGAAAATGAGCTTCATAAACAGGATAGTGCATGCTATATTTTATATAGCATTTGTAGAGAAAGAAGAGTGGGGAAATAATTCAGCATATGATATAGAAAAGAGAGTCAGGGAGGGTGAAACATGAAGTCATTTTTAAATGAAGGATAGTTTCTAGGGGAGGGTTGGGGATAGGGTTCTCCAGGAATAGGGAAAAGCATGGAAAAGCCCTGACAAAGTGAGAGACCAGTCTGCAAACCATCTGCTATTCCTAGAGCAGATCTGATTATGAAGAAGGACCATACCAGGAAAGCTCTGCACACCATGACAAGAAGTTTGAACTTCATACCATGAAGTATATTTTTATATATTTACCAAATATTCTGAAGATAAAATAATTAAAACAGTATGACACTGGTATAGCTAGAGATAGATGAATGAATAAGACAATGGACAATCAAAATGGAAAATTAGAGGGTGAATATGTAGAAGTTTAATATGTGAAAAAGGCAGCATTGGCTGGGTGTGGTGGCTCATGCCTGGTAATCCCAGCACTTTGGGAGGCTGAGGTGGGTGGATCACTTGAGATTAGGAGTTTGAGACCATAAAATCAGTACATACTTTTTGGAAGGTAATTTTTCAACATTTCTCATATAAAACATGCATAATCATTTGATCCTGTAAGTCCATAGCTAGCAATGTACTTTATTGAATCAATATATTAAAACTATAAAAACAAGATATGAAAATATATAATATACAAATATATCAATATATACTATATATTAAAATATGTAAATATATAAACACACAACTGTGCAAAGATAGTATAACAATATTTATTCCACTATTGTAATATCAAGAATTTGGAAACAACCTACAAGTCTACCATAGAGTTTAATTTCATAAATTGCAGTATATAGGTAAATAAATTACTATGTTGTTAAAGAGAACATATTGGCATGGAAAGATATCCATAATATAAGTTTAACTGAAATAAATAATTGGCAGAATAGTATTTATAGTGTAATCTGACAAGAGACGTAGTGATCTACAGCAGTTAAGAGCATGGGCTTTAGGGTCAAGCAGACCTAGATTTGAATCCCAGCTCCATTACTCACCTGAAATGTGAAACTTACTAACTTTTCTGAGTTTTGCTTTGTTTATCTGTTTAACTGAAATGGAATCCAACAGAACCTACATCAGAAAGTTGTAAGGAAAATCGCTACTACATAATAGAAGCTAAAAACACACTAGTTATTATTATTGTTACATTTTTGAAAGATTATTATTTTTGACCAATTTTCTTATAAAATCAGCTTCCAAAAGCAAATACAATATTCTTTGAAAACTTATATTGGATACAGTTTTTAACTGAATCTACACATTAAAGACCATTTTAGCCTATGTAAACAAATATTCTAATGTATCTGATCATTTAATAGATAAGATAATGAATTGGATGTATCAATTTTTATTTAAAGATAGTCTTGCTGTAGTCCAGGCTGGAGAGCAGTGGCACAATCTTAACTCACTGCAACCTCCTCCTCTTGGGCTCAAGTAATCCTCCCACCTCAGGCTCCCAAGTAGCTGGAACAACGGGCGTCAGCCACTGCTCCCAGCCTTGATGCATTAGTTTTTGATACAGATCTGTTTTATTTGCATGTTCATAAACTAGAATGTGAATGGGGAATGAATTTGGACATTATATTTTAGTACCAAAATAAAGAACTGTTGAGTTTAGTTAGCCCCAGTCATAGAAACTTGAAAAAGCCATAGTGGCATAAATTAAGAATTATCCTCTAGTCATTAAACCAGTTATTAATATCTTCTTGTAGTAGTTACCATTATATGTATGTTTATATATATATATATATTCAGTTTTCAATCACATTATTAGGAAAAACATGACAAAGTAGAAAGGTACCCTTTTAAGTATTTTGCCCCTATTAAGACTAGGAAAATAAACCATTCAAAATGAGAAGACGTATTAAGTAAAAACACATTAAAATGTGGCTATGTGAAGAATATACATACCCTTCCACTTGGAAAATCATTCGAAAACTGTCTCCCAAGCTTTTATAACTGTTTGGATCGGTTGCACATCTCTGAATCTGAAACCTAGAAGCAAAATCAAACCAAAAACATCCAAGTTAAATATTTTGCCAAATGGCTTTTCTCATTTCTCAAAGTCTTAGAAGCTCAGCTTTTCAGATTAATCTAGAATATTCTGCTTTGGTATGGATTTTATTCATTTATTAGCCTTATATAATCTTTACCTTATTTTTATAGCCATTAAAATTATATTTCTCTGTACTTTAATGAAATCTATAAAAAAATATTTTCATCTATTTCTTAGCCAGGCAGATTTGCCCTGAGGCATTTATGCTTTTTCCTTTGTGAAAAGCATACATAGATATCGTGGATTGTTTTAATGTAGAATTCAGAAATCCGAAGATGCATATGAAGCCAGTAGTGCTATTTCTTATCTTGATGAGAATTCCTTGATGACAATTTAATACAAACGTTCAGACTCCACTAGAAATATAAACAAGTTTACAAGAAAAAACAACCCCATCAAAAAGTGGGCACAGGATATGAACAAACACTTATCAAAAGAAGACATTTATGTGGCCAACAAACATATGAAGAAAAGCTCATCATCACTGGTCATTAGAGAACTGCAAATCAAAACCACAATGAGATACCATTTCACACCAGTTAGAATGGCAATTATTAAAAACTCAGGAAACAACAGATGCTAGACAGGATGTGGAGAAATAGGAAGGCTTTTACATTGTTGGCAGGAATGTAAATTAGTTCAACCATTGTGGAAGACAGTGTGGTGATTCCTCAAGGATCTAAAACTAGAAATAACATTTGATCCAGCAATCCCATTACTGGGGTATATACCCCCAAAATTATAAATCATTCTACTATAAAGATACATGCACATGTATGTTTACTGCAGCACTATTTACAATAGCAAAGACTTGGAACCAACCCAAATGCCCATAATGATAGACTGGATAAAGAAAATGTAGAACATATATACCATGGAATACTATGCAGCAATAAAAGAGAATGAGTTCATGTCTTTTGCAGGGACATGGATGAAGCTGGAAGCCATTATTCTCAGCAAACTAACACAGGAACAGAAAACCAAACACCTCATGTTCTCACTCATAAGTGGGAGCTGAACAATGAGAACACATGGACACAGGAGGGGGGAACATCACACACTGGGGCCTGTTGGGGTTGAGGGGGCAAGGGGCAGGAGAGCATTAGGAAAAATATCTAATGCATATGTAGCCTAAAACCAAGATGATGAGTTGAAAGGTGCAGCAAACCACCATGGCACATGTATACCTATGCAACAAACTTGTACGTTCTGCACATGTATCCCAGAACTCAAAGTGAAATAAAAGAAATACAGAGTAGGTAATAGGACCTAACTTTGATCCTGATAGTAAATTTGGAATTCATTCTGGCAGGCAGGGGTCTGCACTTAAACCAAGCGTTGGGGTTGTATATTGAGGTTGTGTTACTCTACAGTTTACTATCACTATTCCATGATAAAAAAAGGTTGATTATTCTGGGTAGTTCAGGCTATCCTGATCTTCACAGAAGCACAGTGCCCTGTATATAGTTAGACCTCAATAAACATGCATCTCATTTTTGAAAGTTAAATTATTTTTTCTTCTTTTTGCATATGATCATGCATCTCCTAACTCCTAGTGCGCCAAATGCGGAAGTTTACAGTACAAGTGCTTATCTTTTTGTTTTGTATTTGTTCTGGAGTTTGTATTAAAAAGGCTTATGACAAGTACTGCCATTTCTCCCATACCTGAGTTGTTCTCAATTCTTTGGGTTCTTTAGCCTGCCTATTCCTTGTGCTTTAATTTATTGTTTCTGTTGTAAGTTAGGGCTCTTGTTCCTTCTGTGGGAGGGAATTCCCTCCACAGTTATCACCAAAATTTTACCTGGTTTTTCAAAAGAACTTTTAAAAAACACTTCTGATGTTATTTAGTTCAAAATGCTTTTTGTAGATTATTGGCTTGATGATATGAATGCAATGTCTACTTCTAAGAATAATATATTTTATAATTCTAGGCCTCAGGGCATTATGCTGCAAACTGACACATATCAGACAGAAGAATGAATGTACTGCTTTGACTGCAGCAGTTGGGCATATGGCCAGAGTGAGTGTGGGATAATACTGAAAAGCAAAGCAAGGCTGGAAAGTAGAAAGTTGTTACATGTGTTTGTGCAGGAGAGTACTGTTCAGAGAAGTGGGAGTTCAGTCTTATAGCAGAGTTCTTTGCAATACAAATCTCTAAATGAATATCTATTGACAGACTGGGTGGATTAGAATGGGAATATGGCAGGGAGAACAATTAGGAAGGAGATACAATAGTTTGGGTGAGAAATAATGATGCTAGAGTATAAATAAAGACAACAGAAATATAATGAAAGGGGCAAAGTTGTTGGGTAGTCCGTTTTCTCCTTAATTTTTAAAAATGACACATTTAACATATTCTCCTTTTTTTCTTTTCTTTCTTCTTTTTTTTTTTTTTTGTGACAGGGTCTTGCTCTGTTCCCAGGGTGGAGTGCAGTGGTGCGATCACAGCTTATTGCATGTTTGAACTCCTGGGCTCAAGCTCAAGGGATTGTCCCACCTCAGCCTCCGGAGCTGGGACTACAGGCATGTACCAACACGCCTGGCGAATTTTTACAATTTTCTTGTAGAGGCGGGTCTCCTCTTCTTGCCCAGGCTGGTCTGGAACTTCTGGGCTCAAGCAATCCTCCCGCCTCGGTCACTCAAAGTGCTGGGATTATAGGCATGAGCCACTGACCCTAGACAACAAATAACTTCGAAACATACAGAGCAATTTCCAATATATAACTTTGGTTCTAGTTCAAATAAGAATATTCATTTCTGTGTTTGCATATTTGTAACCAATATTCATTGCTGAGTATAAAATCCTTTGTTACATTTTGTTGTAAAACCAATACTCTTCTCTAACTATTCTTTAAAAAAATTATTCAAAATAGTTTTATATATTATGAAAGTATCATATAAGCATAGATGCCTCTCATAATATCTGTAATAAGCTTTCATTAAGTTCATTTATCTCAGCAAATTCCTTTCTAGATGCATTTTCCCAAATTACCAATTATTTTCTTAATGTGTGCCATACGATTTAAGATGCTACAGGTTTTACAAAAACCCAGGGTATTACCTTCAACCTCAAGAAGCACAAGAAATAAACATAAGAAACAAATAACTATATACGAGGAAATATGCAAAATGTGAAGTAGCAACAGCACTGGGTTGTCCAGGTGTTCACGAGGGGAGCAATTACTGCTTTCTGCAGAGGGTCAGGAAGGGTTTCAGGAAAGAGAAGATTTTCAGCTGGTCCTTGTGGGAGTCAGAGAGTAAACCAGGGGGAAGCATTCCAGGTGAGGAGATGACAAGAACAATGGCCAGTGAGGGAAAGCTGTCCTTTTAAATGGGGAAGCGAACACCACAGCCTCCTAGCCCATTTCCTTCGGGAAAATCTTATAGTACTCTGCTTGCTGCGTGCACTTGGTTGCTCAGGGTGCATGGAGACCTGAAGTGGTTTGGTAGAAGGTATGTAGGAGCTAAAGTCAAAGCCCGGAATAAAGCACTTGACCTTTTCTGCTGCTCCCCTCAGCACTCCAGCTACCTCAGGATGGCCGCTGAACCACTGCCTGGCCCTGGTTCCAGATGGATCTGTGAACGAGTCAGTAGATGGGCCAGGCAAGCACATGCTATGCCTAGACATTCAACCTTAACCTTTCCTTCCCTGCCAGGGTTAGAGACCTCAGCTTTGCCTATGATGTCTGCATTCCCAGGTTATTCCCAGGTGGGTTTTCTGACAGCTTGTGCAAATGTGAATACAGAGTATGATGATTTCACAAGTCTAGACATTTCACTTACTAGTTGCAATTTCGTTTTCTCTTTTCAGAATCCAAGAAGATAATTATTTCCAATCTATTATTCATTGAGTTAATAAGAGTTCTTGAACACAACTGTGTATTATACACTCTACCATTTGGGGGCTTACAAAGAAATAAGACAAAGCCCTACCTTGCAGAAGCTTTCAGTAAGGTGAAGGAGATGTGCAAACAGATGATTACCATACACAAAAACTATTGTTTAGAAATAGTGTCTCGGAGTATCAGATGCTAGCCAGTGAGTTTTACTGTATTGAAACTAGCACCACTCTTATTGCGGATGATCAGCTATTTATGGGTGGGAAATAGTGCTTTGCAGAGTCCTTGGAAGGGAGGGGGGAAATAAAGAATATCTTTGGGTTACATATCTGCAATTAAACTTTACTCACAGATTTTAGAACAGGCAACAAGGAAGGGAAGTACATGAAATCTTTGAGGAGTGCTTCATTTAGGAGCTGACTGATGAGTGATGCTGAGTTAATTACAACCAGGAGTGGCAACATCAAAATAACATTACAGGAGCAGAGTCCATAAACTGAGTCGGATGAGCAGTGCAAAAGGATGGGCAGGCATGTTAACTACTAATGCCCCAGTAAAGCTTCCCTTCCATTCTTAACTATGCTAAAGCAGCAGGAGGCCCCATTATACAGGATAAGTTAAGGACAATTGTCTCTTCTACTGTGCATCTCACATATATCATGTCTACCCTTTGCAGAGAAAGTACTTGCAGTATTTGGTTGCAGTATTCCATTCCACTACACATGACTTATTCTGATCACAGAGTTATCAGTTTTTCTCTGGAATCTGTTTCAAGTTGATATAATTATAGTGCATTTTGGTCAATCATGTAAAACAGCAATTTTCTTCTTCCTCTGCTCTACATTTCAGCAACTTAAAAGGTTTCTCTCTTGGATTGAAGCTTTACATCAGCATGTTCCAAGTTGCATTTTCTGCTAACAAATTCTCTCTATTCTCAGGGAGACAATTTTCCAGTTACGTCATACAACCCCTTGTAAAATTACAAAGGCAAAGCCACACCATTCTTGATTGCATTTAGAAGAAAGGGTTGGATCTCTCCATTGTCCTAATAAAAGCAGCTTAGATACATCTGGAATATCCATCTAAGTAACTTCTTTTAT